TTAGATAGATTAGAATTAGATAATAGCATAACAGAAGGGTATTCAGGTAAACTTGACTCAATGAAACTAAATCAAGATCTCTTCGAGGTCTACAAGGCTTCCAAGGCAACTTGGTAAAAGCCTTCTAGGCGGAGAATATAAAACTCTACCTAGTGCGGCAGACCGCTTTTAGGCATCCATAGAGACAGCCGAGGGTGTTGGGCCTAGATATTAAGCTCAACTTTATGTAACTAGTTTTATATAATAATCTTAATAAAGAATCACTGGCAAGGTTGCCAAAGAGAAAAAAAAAAAAAAAAAAGTACTAGGCTATATTCATGTCTTACAGATTTTTTTCAAAATTAATATCATGCATAGTACTTATTAAACCTGCTAGTACTAGGCTATATTCATATCTTACAGATTTTTTAAAATCAAAATTTCTAATTCTATAGCATATCATTGTTAGACTAATTACAAGCAGTGTCTGAAATTTAATTTTTAATTTTGTTGCGTAAAGCAACTAAATAAAAAAGTTTACTTGTGGATTATATAGATTTAGTTGCGCATATGAATATATTTATATGCAAATTCGAATATATCTATATGCAAATTCACAAAATTTAGTTGCGGAACCAGAATATACATTTCAGATTTTAGTTGCAGAAACTTATAAATCATTTGCGGTCCGCAAGCTCTGCAACCCAATTTCAGACACTGATTACAAGACTTATTACTATCTCAAATATTGTTATTTTTCACAAGTTTTATTTTTAAATTTGTTGTTATTTTTCAACAGAATAAAATATCTAATTAGTTATTTTTGTTCAAAACTAACAAAGTTATAAGCACTTTAACTTGAATAATTTCAGTTAACTAAAAATACTAAACTAAAAAAAACTAAATTAATATATATAATTTTTTTAGATGTTCTATAGAATAGATGGGCAAACTTCATCAACTTAGCAACTCTGCTATTAAAAATTAATGATTACTAATAATTAGCGAAACTTATTTCTTATATTGCCCACCTATTCTATAGAATATCCTTTTTTTAAAAAAATTAAAGATACTAAATAATAATAATAATAAAATAATAAAATAATGAATAATAATAATATATATAATAATAATAGTTATATAAAAAAAATAAAACCCAAAATAAATAGTTTTTTTAATAAAAACACTTTCTGTCAATACAAATCCTTTAATTTTCATATATCAGCACAGTTAAACTTTTCTTTGAATTTGTTTAAGAAGTCTATCTTGAGCTTTCTTAATTTTAGCCTCATAAAGTTTGTAAAAGTTTCTATTTAGGTTTTAAAGAGGAAGAGGTAGATTAAAATAAAAAAATATTGCATATCATCTAAGATAAACAAGACTTTTTTAATCTAAGCATATTAATTCTGAGTTTTAGTAATTGTTGAATTTGGTCTAATCTAATATCAATTAGATCTTTGATATAATAAGTAGAAGGTTTTTTATTTCTTCTAGTAATTGGATAAAGGTTCTCTTCATCTGAAGGATCAAGATTTCATTTGTCTGAAAGTTCATTATTAAGATTATATCCTGAAGCTTGATTAGAACCATTACAGTTTCTTCGAATAATTTCTATAGATCTTGATTATTATCTATATTCTCAGTAATATCAGGTTGTATAGATATAGATTGTAAAGCTTTTTGTTCAGTTGGTAGATGTTCTTCTATAGATAAAATATGGTATAGGTTGTTGATCAATTTGATCAAAATCTAAATCAGTCCAAGAGTTATAGTAAATATCTAGCTTCTACTAACTATCAACCATTATAAATGTTATATAATTATGTGGTAACTTAAAAGAAATGAGATATGGGTATGTGTATAGTAAAATAAATTAACTATTTTGGTAGATATAGCATTGATGTGTGATAAAACTGATTTATAATTGTTTTGTGCCACTGCGGCTTCCAGAAAGCCTGAAAGAGCATCTAGAAACAAGATTGATTAAATCATTTCCGCATATTGATAAAATTTCTCTGCGTATAATAATGCACGTTCTTTATAATTGAAATGCCTACAAACTTCTAACTTTATTAATGTAGTTGAATGATCAATATAAATTTTAGGCAATTGTTCGTATAGATCATACGCTTGTAATAATTTTTTTTCGGCAGATTCGTATTCCTTTTGAACCAAATCAAAAATAGATAATCTACAGTAAGCTTTTGCAAGATTTCTGTGGCGTTCACCATACTGTTTAGTGATTATGTCGATGATTTTAAGTAATTTTTGCTTACCTTCCTCATGCTTATCATAATTTGCCCAAGTATCAAAGGCATCAAGATAAAATTCGATATGCTGCAATTGATAATAGGAAGTTCTTTCAAACATAGTGTGAATTAATGTTGTAGCCTTTTCATAGGACTCATAGGCCCATTGATAGCTTCTTTTTGCTTGATAAAGTTTCATATATCCGTGCGAGAGTTTAAAGGACAGTGCATCATATGTAAGATTGTGTTCTATCGCGTATAGCATGAAGAAACATATTTTAATTGCTTTCAGCATCATCCATTTCTTCCATGAGTAGATAAGTATTGGCAAGACTAATATGAGATTCCAATAATCGACCTACAGGTTTATTTACATACAAAGTATTAATTACTTGGATCACCAAATTTCTATATTCTACAGCTTGTTCTAATTGATTAAATTGTTCTGAAATTTCTGCAGCTTGCTGATAAATATCAATTAATTTAACATGCGCTTGCTTATTATAAAGATTGTTAGCAAAATCAAGAGCCTTTTGAATATTCTGTTCACTAAGGCTAAATTTATGTTGACCCGAAAACCATTTTGCAAACTGATATAAAAATCTATCATTACATGATCACGTTTTTCAGGGATACATTCAACAATTTCTTTAGCTTTTTCGAGGTGTGCTAGCTCAGAAGACTTATTTCCTAATAAGCCTTCAATATTTGCAATATTACAATGAGCTTGTACACATTCCATTGATATTGCTTGATTATTTATCGCAAGTTTAGTTGGTATGCGGTTAAATAATTCAAGGACTCCTTTATGGTCTTCTAAGGATAATTTTAGATAACCTAACTTGAAAAGATCATCTACATCCATTGGTTTATTTTCTATATGTTTTTCATAATATTCGTTGGCTAATTGTGGCTTTCTTAAATGTGAATAGAGACGAAACAACTGAAAATATATATACATCTTTAAATCCAGATCTTTGTGCTTCAAGCAGTAATAGCTCAGCTTCCCTATAAAGCATAAATCGGAAATAAATGGTTGCTTTTGTCATAAAACTTTCATCTAAAAATGTTTCAGTTGTATTAATTTTATTTTTATCTTCTGTATTAATACTGGTTTGTACAAATCGATAAAGTGGTATTGCAATTTGATAGAACTTTACCAAGTTAGCAATATCATCTATACCAAAAAAATTTTCAACTTCTGCACTATTTGGAGTCATTTTCGTGTCCCAGATACTAAATTTTTCACTTTGACTATCATTTGTAACGTAGGTGAAAAGACGTGATTGTAATGCTACATCCGTCATAAATTCCAAGTTTGTAGCTCCTTTTTCATTGATAATATTACTTTTTAGTAACCCTGAAATTTTGTCCCATAATATATTTCCAGAAGTCGCAAAAATTATTCGTAAACCTTCAATCAATCTATCTGGCAATCTGTAAATTTCAGTTTTAATGTTTAATAATCTCCCTTCGTGACTTACTTTATCAACATTAATTTTATATTTGTCTAAATCTGCTTGTAAGTTTTTCGTACCAGTTAACAGCAAAACTTTGGCCACACTTTTATGGAAAGATGAATGATCTGTCTCTTTTTGATGTAACTTTTTATTAATCATTTCTTTATAATCTTCACATAATGTTTTATTTCAGAAAAAGTATTGACAATCAATTAATTCAGCAACTAGTAAAGGATCCCGATCGAATGTATTAAGATCAATGTAGTCATCCATATGTTGAGAGGTTTGAATTAAATCATAATCTTTATCAAAGCGTCCGAGTGGTGTCTTTCCTCCTAAATCAAATTGGAAGCCTGGTTTGATTAAAACATCAAAATCGATACCATTTGTCTCATTTTCTACTTGGAATAAATTAAAAGGAAGTGCAGTTTGTCCTAAGCTAATTACAATAAAGTTCATTATATATACCATCCGGCGTAAAGCTTCTTTTAATTTCGGATCAGGATCATTAACTAAAATACAAAACTCTATATCTGAATATGGAGTAGCAGTGACTTTTGCCCATGATCTCAGTAGCAATACCGCAAAATTTTTTTCATCAAGATTGTTATCTCCAAGAATATCAATAGCACGATGTATGATATCACTAAGTAGTTTACGCAATGATAAGTTAAGTTCTCGAAATCCATCCTTAATTGCATCAACTTTTTCAGATTTCCTCGTTTTCTCCTGAGTTTGAATTATTGTTTTTGCTTGTTTGCATTGAATTTCTCTGAGCGATTTATGAAGCTTATCAATGTAAGTAAAAAAAATCTGTTAAATCATTGTTAGATTTTAACACCTCTTTAAATAAGAAATCCTTTAATTCTAATATCTCTTGGTTTGTTATTATATTTTCTTTAGAAATTTTGTTGGCAGCTTTATAAATCTTATAAAGAGTCAAACAGAGGTCCGTTAATTTAAGTTTCATAATTGTTAGACAAAAATGCGTATAATGAACAATGATTTTATGTAACAAAACCATTGTAGATCGGTGCCGCTTATACTTTATTCACTGATACGTGATTCACCGAGATGCTTAATTCGCCGACAAGCCGACTCAGTTCGCCGACACTCAATTCGCCGACACTCAATTCATCGACAAACAATTCATCGACACTCAATTCACCGACAAACAATTCACCGACACTCAATTCACCGACAACAGGGACACGGAATTTATGCGATAAGAATTTGTAAATTATGCGTGCGGTGCGGTATATGTAAAATACACTGGCGATCATAAGTAATGCAACAAAAATTTTTTTTTGGTTAAATTGCATTATTTCGTGCAATTCCGGTTTTATCCTTTTACTTTTTTTTTATTTTGCTCATAAATAGTACAGTATTCATATATTAAAATATTAGAAAGTATTAATGAGACAAATCTTTCACAGACACGAGCTTTATTTAAAATTACATGTTGCATTACTTTTGCTTGTTTTAAACACAACACGAACATAAAACATAAAAATTTTTTTTTACATATAGAAAAAAAATTTTTTTTTTCTACTTCAATGTTTTATGGCTGCCACAACATAGTACAACCGTCTTGTGCCTTGATAGCTTCACGAACTTGTTCTGGCATGGAGGTGAATCTGATGATACGGGTCCTTATTTTGATTTTCAACTTGACCACCTGGATTTTGCCCCAAGGATCTTTTTTACTTAAAATTGACCCAAAACTGTCCCCAAGTCGATGGTAAATCTTGACCTACAAATATTTAAAAGATTAAGTTTAGATGGCGAGGATGTTAATTAAAAACCTTTGCCTAATTATTTCTATACTAATATTCTATAAACATTGTGTTATATAGTAATCATTATCTTTGCTACAAAATTATTTTTTTAAATAGCAAATTTGTGATTTCTAATCATTTCTATAAAATATTAAAAAAAATATTTTAATGTTATTCAATATTCATCGCGTATTTGACTTTGCAAAAGCTATTAACACTACGAAATATAATATAGTATTATATTCTTGTGAATCTATTCCAAATCTTTGATGTAAAAGCAAATTAATCATTTTTTAAGGTACTTTCGATCATATTGTGTACCATCTAACTCAAATTGTAGCTCGTCAGATCAAATTACCTTAGACCAGTACTTGTTAACCAATTTTTATGAATTTGAGGCAAGTTTTTGTTCACATTCGCGTGGTTAAAGCTTTTTTCACTTAGCCTTTAGTACTAAACCAAAGTTTCTAAGTGTAAAAAAAATAAAAAAAACTCAAATCATTAAATACCTTTACTATTTTTTAATAAAACCGTATTTCAACAGTAATTAAATAGTATTAAAAGGTCGCTCAGTTTAAAATCTCTCTTGAGTCGGCACACCACTGATAGGTAAATAATAAAATTCCACCAATTTTTTACAAACACGATATTTTATTTACTTTTATTGCTGCAAAAGGCCGAGAAGGAACTAATATTATGTGCCTAGTTTACATCCTAGTAGTCACCATTTTTGTGGCAAAGAAGAAACTTGGACTCTTTTGAATTATAAGTTGTATGTATTTTTTTTGCCAGAATGTTATTTTAAGTTCTATTGTAATACAAGAATGCGAAAATGATCATAAGTTACCATTTTATATATTTCTTCGTCGTACAATGATCATCATCTGATCATTGTAAAAAATGACCAAAAATAATGCAACACATGATTCGTAATATATGGGTAATTATTTTTGAACCCGGACCAATTTTATATATGACATAATAGCATTTTGGTCTGGATCCAAAAATAATTACTCATATATCTGCTTATCTTTACATTGGCGATAATAATGACTATTAAAATTTAATATCGAAAAAAGGTATTTATGAATAAATAAAAAATAAATAAAAAGATACAACCAGAATTGCACGAAATAATGCAATTTAACCAAAAAAAAATTTTTGTTGCTTTACTTATGATCACTAGTGTATGTGATTTGCTGATTAAAAAAAAATGCAATTTTATATCATAAAAAAAAAAACTTTAAATTCTACACTCAACTAACAAATACTAATCCATCTTATAATAATTTATTTAATTTTTTAAAATCATGCTCAAACTAAATAAAAAAACTGCACTTAAGACTTTAAAGAATTTTGAAAATATATCTTTTGTGAGAGATATCTATAATTTCTATATAGTTAATGCAGTATATAATAATAATAGAATTTAACAACATGGGAAATTTTATATAAAAATATATAGCGATTGGTAACTCACAAGACATATATTGATATTAATCACCCCTGCAGGATTATATTGATTTGGGTTTAAAATGATAGATAACCAGTTTAAGGCAATCGATACATATTTAGTGGGTTATCAATCGCTATATATCAGGTTTAAGCAAGTAATTTTTTTAATAAACAATAACACTAATAAAGTAATTTATAAACACTATATTATAAAGCAATAATAAGTATATTACAATGCAAATATACAAATTTATTATCATTATAAATACAGTATAATTATATTACAGCGCAAATATAACATTTATTATGATTTTATTATATAACTGCTAACAAATATAACTAATTCAAAAAAATATATATATTTGAAGCAAAAATTTAATAATTGCAACCAAATAAGTCATCAGCATCTTCCTGTGAAAGTTCTATTGGATGTTGAGATGACTGTTGAGATGAATTACTCACTTCGGGTTCAGTTTCATATGGGGCGATGCTTGTCGTGAACTACCACCACCACCACCATCACCACCATTACCATCACCAACACTACTACTATTACGAAAAAGAGTTTCATTGTTTAAAATTGATTCGGCTGTTTCGTATGATGGACCACTATTACCGAAATCACTTTAATTAAAAAATAAAAAATTAGTAATTACTAATAATAAATCATATGTAATTAATAATAGTAATTACAAAATATCTTTCGATATGACGTATAAGATGTTTTTTTGTACATGTGACACTTTTTGACCGGGGATTAAGTAAAATATCACAGATGGCGAGCATGAAGGCGCAGTGCTCATTGGAGAGTGTAGGTACAGCAACTTAGCAAAAGCTATTCTTGCAATTATAGTCACCCAAAAAACACTCTCATTGTTTATTTCAAACAATATGTGAAAACAATCACTAACTTCATTACTTTGCTTCTAACTTACTATTTCAGCTAGTACAGCATTTTTTTAATGGTAGTAGTCTTTCGCTTCCAAATACATGCCATACTGCTGATCTTATATTTTGAACTGATACATCTCGCAAGTTCTTCATTTTTTGCAAAATCTATTATCAAATATTAGTAGTAAAAAGAAATATAAATAATGTATTTAAAAGACAATAACTATCGATACATACGGGGCTGAACCATTCTCCATGGAACCTGTTAGTAGGAACTTAAACTATACATAAACTCAGGGAACTTTTCTTCAAGACATTGTTTAAGCACCTCCTTCAAGTCACTTTGGCTGGGATATATGTTGTTCAGGAAGAGCTACTTAACCATGCAGGTAAACACATCCTATATATATTTTTTTTTTAAAATATCAACATATATATTATTACTTACTAGTCCTTCTATTACAAATCAAAGCGCTATATACTGCTTAAACATGCTAGATCTAAATTGTTGCAAAGAAAAATAGTTTCGTTGTAAACCAAAAGCACTACATCCATTACTTGTGTAGAGAGAACATTCTCTTGTTCTTCTTGGTGCCTTTCCAAGTGATCTAGCCTAGTTTTAATTTCATTAGAACTCGCATCAAGCCTTTTAAGAATTAAGTATAACTGTTGAAGCTAAGCAAACATTCGCTCATCAACTAGCTGATGGTATTGGTGGTGGTCTTAATATAACAATAATAATAATAATAATAATAATAATAAATCTATGAAAAAAAAAACACAACAATTTGTCAAAAAAAAAAAAAGAAAAAAAAGAGCCTTTATATATGTACCATTTGATTATGTGTTAGATTTTGATTTGACGATCTTCTATCTCTGTCATGTGCTAGTGATCTTTCTCGTAATCGTAATCTTGAATATGTTAATGAACTGGAGATAATAATTGATTATTATAAATATGATGCAATCTATGATGAGATCTAGATTCATAGCGAGAAGTAGATTCATCCTGAGAAGTAGTGAAATGCTGGTAAGGTATGGAATAGGTAGTGGATGGTTGGCATGATAGTTGGCATGATGGTTGGTGTGATTGTTGGTGAGGTGATTGTTGGTGAGGAGATTGTTGGCAAGATACTTGTGGAGAAAATCTGGTCATTGTTGAATATGTTCATTAGATATTTCTAATGCTTCTAAAGGTTGAATCAGAAGATGAACCATCATCATTAGGCTTAGAAGGTTGATGAGGTCCAGCGATATCATTAGTATTAAAAGGTCGCTCAGTTTAAAATCTCTCTTGAGTCGGCACACCACTGATAGGTAAATAATAAAATTCCACC